ACATATTAAAATCTTGGTTTTATTATTATGTTGATTGTATTTTGAAATTTATCTTATTATAATAAAAACCACTTGTAAGTTGTGGATCAAAATCTTAAGATGGACATTTGTGATTGTGCAGGCTAGTGAGTCCGTTGACTCGCAAAACCTTTTCCCATTTTTCAATGGGATGAGAAAGTATATAATAAGATTATTTATTCTAAATCCGATTATTTGCTTCTAGTCCAAGGGAATTTAAATGTAAATCCTGTTTTATGATCGATATTTAAAAATAGTTTATTATATTAAGGGGTGATTTGTTATTTTTAGTTTACATTAATTTTTAAATTTTTTTTAAATATGATGGTTAGAAGTATGAACTTATTAAATTTGAGCTTAATATGATATATAAAAAAAAAGAATCTTATTAAAATAAATGTGTACAGTTATATGAATCTCTCTCTCTGGCTCATAAAATCTACAAGTGGTATCACAGCCCAGAAAAACCCTACACAATGTCTTGTTTCTAACTCCAACCCCATTTTCATTTCTCTCTAACTTCATCCTTACTTGTTGAGGTACAAACATTTGTATTTTGTTAGTATAACCATTTGTCTTACTTCTCTTATATGTTATTGCATAAAAAATAAACATTTGTTTCTCCAATACTTTTTCTCTCGCGCTAGAGTCGTGGTGGTAGCACCCCCGCACCTTAGTTACCACGTTGTGGTTTCCATTCAAACTGACACCACCCCACTAATAGATTCAAAAAACTAACTCTTAAATTATTTGAAAAAATGGTTAGGGGCAACGTCTTTCTCACTAAATTATCGAAAAAATAAAACTTCCTCTCTCCAAGAACTGTCTGATACCCATTTAGATATCAAAATCGCAAAAACATATCCCTCCTTTTAACTCATATCCTGGATACATCTATTCATAAAAGAAAAACAATGATTTGCAAATCAAAGTTTTACAAGTTCAAGTTAGCACGGTTAGGAGAGAGATAAGTAAGAGAGAGATAAAGAACAGATAGAGAGAAATACAGAGTCAAAATGGGAATGGAAAAGAAGTTTGCTAGAGAAACGACATGGTTAGAGAGAGGAGCTAGAGAGAAACAAAAGTTAGATAGAGAAAGAGCATGATTAGGGAGAGTTGAGTTAGAAAGAGATAAGACATGGTGAGAGAGAGGAGTTAGGGAGAGCAATGGCACGGTTAGAGAGTTGAAAGAAAAATGAGTTAATGAATATTTAGAGAGCGATGTAATTGTGGAAGAAAAGGGCATGGTTAGATAAATGGGTTAGAGAGACAAAGGGCATAGTTAAAGGTGAAAACACTTAGAACAAGGAGTTAAAGAGAAAAATAATCAGGATGTGTGTGTATGTTATAGAGAGAAAGAGAGAGAGAGAGAGGGGTTAGAATTGCATGGTCAGAGAGGAGTCAAAGAGAAAAGGCAGGAGTCAAAGAGAAAAGGCATAGCTCCGAGAGAGGAGTTAGAGAGAAAAATGTCACGATGAGAGAGAGAGAGATGTTAGAGATAGAATTGTATGGCCATAAAAAATAAAATAAAAGAGAAAGGACACAATTAGAGAGAAATGAATTAGAAAGAGGAGTTAGAGAGAAACTTTCACATGCTCATTGAAAGCAACTTTCAATTGTTAAAATAATATTTATTTAAAAAAAATAAGAAAATAAAAGTGATAGTCAAAGAAAAATTATAATTCCCATTGAAAATAAATAGATATTCCAAAAGAAGAAAAATAAATAATATTACAATAATTAAAATAGCCAAATAATAAGAGCTAATCTTATATTTAGGGGTAGAATTACATAGATGCAAATCAATCTAAAATAGACTTTTTATAACTTGAAATTTTATAACACAAGTTTTATTGACAAGTACAACACAAAACATGCATTCCATCTAGATGCTCTCCACATAGTATTTACTCATAATTCAAGATTTATATAGCCTGAAATTTCATATCCAGATTCGGAGTTCTGGGGAGCCAATAGTGTATAAGTTCTCTCTCTTCTTGAGTTTTATATTTATAAACATCCCACTTTGGTTTTTTGAATTTCTAAACCATAATCTTTGAATTCCCAAACCACTTTGTCTAGGTATTTATGACCTAGGCATTTCAGGCTCAGTATCTGTTTCTACGGAATTTTGGTTTAGGTCATAAGTACCTGGATAAAGTGGTTTAGCAGGGTCTGAGTTTAAAGATTATAGTTAAGTAGATATTCAATAAGCCAAAGTGGAATGTTTACAAATATAATACTCAAGAAAAGAGAGATAACTTAGACCCTATTGGCTCCATAGAAATCTCAATCTGGATATGAATTTGCCAGGTTATATAAATCTTGGATCTAAGTAAATATTATGTGGAGAGCATCTAGCCGGAATGCATGTTTTGTGCTTTACTTGTCAATAAAACTTGTAATATATAATTTCCTTTAAATTTCAAATTTATAAAAATTCTATTTTAGATCTATTTATATCTATGTAATTCTACCCATAAATATTAGGGTAGCTGGTATTATTTGTTTATTTTGATTATTGTAATATTATTTATTTTTCTTGGTTTGGAATATCTATTTATTTTCACTTGAAATTATAACTTTTTCTTTGAAGATCACTTTTTTTTTTCTTTTTTTTCTTTAAAATAAATTTGATTTTAACAATTGAAAGTTGAATCCAATGAGCATGTCAAAGTTTCTCTCTAACTTCTCGTTCTTGTTCATTTCTCTCTAATTATGCCCTTTCTTTTAATTCTTTTTTTTTTGGCCATACAATTCTCTCTCTAACCTCTCTCTCTCACCGTGACATTTTACACTTCAACTCCTATCCCTAAGCTATGCATTTTCTCTTTAACTCTTCTCTCTGGCCGCACAATTCTAACCACTCACTCTGCCTCTATATATATATATATCTCTCTCTCATATGCACACACACGTCGTGACATTTTTCTCTTTAACACCTTGCTCTAAGTGTTTTTTGCCTCTAACTGTGCCCGTTATCTTTCTAATCCATCTATCCAACCATGCCCTTGTCCTCCGTAATTACCTCTCTCTCTCAATATTCATTTTCTCTCTCTAACTCATCTTTCTAATCATGCCCTCTCTAACTCCTTTCTCTTTCAAATCCTCCATACTCTTTTTAGCTTCTCTCTATCTAGTAATTCTTTTTTCCATTCAGACTTCTTATCTCTCACTCATCTCTCTAACCGTGCCCTTCTCTTCCTAATTCCTCTCTCTCATACCATGTCTTATCTCTTTCTAACTCAACTCTCTCTAATCATACCCTTTCTCTAACTTTTGTTTCTCTCTAGCTCATTTCTCTATTCATGTCATTTCTCTTTTTAACTCCTTTATCTCTAGCAAACTTCTTTTCCATTTCTATTTTGACTCCATATTTTCTCTCTATCCATTCCCTATCTTTGTTTTACTTATCTCTCTCCTAACCTTGAACTTGTAAAACTTCGATTTGCAAATAACAATTTTTTCTTTTTCAAATGATTGTATATAATATATGAGCTAAAAGGAGGGATATGTTTTTGAGACTTTGATCTTTGAATGGGTATCAGACAGGTCCTTGGAGAGAGCAATTTTTTTTTTTTTGGGGTAATTCAGTAGGGAAGACATGCCCCTACCCATTTGTCTCTCTAACCCCATCTCTCTATCTATTCCCCATCTTTGTCTTACTTATCTCTCTCTTAACTATGCCAACTTGAACTTGTAAAACTTCGATTAAAGGAGGGATATGTTTTTGAGACTTCGCTCTCTGAATGGGTATCAGACAGGTTCTCGGAGAGTAAATTTTTTTTTTTTTGCGTAATTCAATGGGGAAGACATGCCCCTACCCGTTTACAAATAATTTAGGAGTTAACTTTTTTGAAGGTGTTAGTGGGGCGGTATTAGTGAGAACGGAAACTATATTGTGGTGACTAGGGTGAATGGGTACTACCACTACGACCTCGGTCCCTCTCCCAGGAGAGAGAAAAATGTTGGAGAAACGAATGTTTACTTCTGATGCAATAATACGTTAGAGAAGTAATACAACTGGCTATACTAAAGAACTACAAATGTTTGTTTCTCAACCAGAAGCATAGGTGAGTTAAAGAAGTGAAAATGGGGGTAGAATAGAAATTGGAGATTGTGTAGGGTTGTTTGGGGCTTTGATACCACTTAGGAGATTCTTTGAGCTATGATACATATTTAAATGCCTGCATAATAAATCACATGCTAGGGAGACATTTATATAGCATTTGACTTTTATTTCACTCAATACAGTGTAATCATATACATACATGACCCTCATTAAATACATCACTAATAAAACTAGTTAAATATATCACTTGCTGTACTTCATCAATTATATATATCATACTACAGGTTGGATATGGTACTTGTTAAATACATCACTAGTTGTACTTCATCAATTACATATATCGTATTACATGTTGGATATGCTGAAAAAAGTTAGATATCTGATAACTACTCATTTATATCACTGAAAAAATGAGCTTATAATAATCTAGGATATAAATACAAGTCCAAAATTGAGCATATAATGTGATCAACAAAAAGAAAATAAAAAACACAAAAAGACATAAATCCAGGGGCAGAAATGCCCCTCTTTGGGCATTTTTGGGTCATTTTTTTTAATATTAAAAAAAAAAAATTGTGGGTTATAAAGAGAAAACCCCCCAAAAACATTTTCTTTCTACTAAGCCCGTCTAGACACTCGGAGTCCTGATCACCGCCACTTAGGCGCTGCCTTCGATTTTTTAAACAATGGCATTTGTAGTTTGAGTAATTGTGAAGTTGGTTTGACTTGGTAATCAATGATGCATTTTTGCAATTTGCAGGTTAGAAGATTAGAAGCTCAGAGCGTGCATCAAACCACGTTGAGGCGAAAACAACAGCAATTACTAAAGTTTTGAACGATAGCTTGGAAAGTGTGACTCAGGCTTTATCTCAAAAAATAGAGATACATACAGTAAGAATACTTTTAATATATTTTGTTCATTCAAACTCAATTTTAGCTTAGAACTCTAAAATAAATTTTTATGTTGATTGGGTTTGTTTATTTTATAGAGTGAGATGATTCAAGAATCCAACATTTCAAAATTTAAATTTGAAGTTCAAAGTTCTGAGGTACTTTTACATAAAATATGTCTAGCATATTTTGTTATGCTACATGACTTATGGTGCTTTTATGATGCACACACTAAGAAGGCCTGTACCCTGCCCACGCCGCCCAGGCATAGAAATATCCCTCTGTTGGGCATTTTTGGATGATTTATTAATACTAAAGGGTTACAATTGTAGGTTTAAGTTCATTTCAAACCCAAAACCTATTACAACCTAGTTTAGAGAGACAAGCCCCCAAACAAATTTTCATTTTAGTGAGCCACCTAGGTTATGTACCCATGGCCGCCTAGGTACCACCTAGCGTGACTCAGGACCCCCGGCCATCTAGGTGTCGCTTAGCGTTTTTTGAAATAATGGCACTTATAATTTGATGTAATTATGAATTTGTTTTGGCTTGGTAATAAATGATGTATTTTTTCAATTTGCAAGTTAGAAGAAGCATAAGCTGTACAATCAAAGCACGCAGAGGCGATAATAGCATCTATTACTAAAGTTCTGAATGATAGCTTAGTGTGGCTGGCTTTGTCTCAAAAGTGGAGATGCATAAAGTAAAAATATTTTTAATTCATCTAGTAGTATAGTTTTTTCATTTAAACTCAATTTGGAATGCAGGTCTTTATTTATGTTGTTTGGGCTTGTTTTTTTTATAGAGTAAGATGATTTTAGAATCCAATGGGCTTGTTTTTTAAGAGTAAAATGATTCTAGAATCCAATATTTAAAAATTTAAATTTGAAGATTTAAATTCTCAGTTACTTTTATTTTTAAATTTGAAGTTCAACGTTATCGGTTACTTTTACATGAAATATGTATTGCATCACAAGTATTTTGTTATGCATAAGCTGTTACATGACTTATGATGCTTTTATAATGCACACAGCCTGTGCCTCACCTGGGCGGCCGCCTTAGGCCTGCGCCCTGTATGGGTGGCGGCCTAGAGTCTGTGCCTTGCACTGGCGGGGGCGACCGCCCGCGTGGGCGGCTGCCTTGCACGGGCACCCACCCAAGGACAAAAATTCCCTTTGTTGCTTATTTTTTTAGTCATTTTTTTAATAAGTAAAATTGGCTTATTTTTTAGTCATTTTTTTAATAAGTAAAATTATGGGGTTTAGTTTCATTTGAAACCTAAAACCCATTACATCCTATTTTAGAGAGAAAAATCCCATTTTTTTTGTTTCTACTAAGCCACCCTGGGCACCCAATTAGACGCTGGCAGCCTAGACCCCCAACAGCATAGGCACTGCCTAGCAATTTTTTATTTTTGAAATGGTGCATTTGTAATTTGATGTAATTGTGAAGTTGTTTTGGCTTGGTAATGAATGATGCATTTTTGCAATTTGCAGGTTAGAAGATTAAAAGCACAAGGTGTACAATCAAAGCACGGTGAGGCGGTAACAACAACTATTACTAAAGTTCTAAATGATAACTTGGAAAGTGTGGCTCAGGCTTTGTATTAAAAGTGAAGATGTATAAAGTAAAATATTTTTAATTCATCTAATAGTATATTTTGTTCAATTAAACTCAATTTTAGCTTAGAACTTCGAAAAGAATTTACTAGATGTGGTTTTTATTTATGTTATTTGAGCTTGTTTGGTTTGTAGAGTGAGATGAGTCCAGAATCCAATATTTCAAAATTTAAATCTGAAGTTTAAAGTTCTCAAGTACTTTTACATTAAATATGTAACAAGTACTTTTACATTAAATATGTAACAAGTACTTTTATATGACTTATAGTGTTTTTATGATGCACAAGAAGTCTTGCGACTCGTCTACGCAACCACCCAGGGCCATGCAACCCGCCTGGACGGCCGCTTAGAGGCAGAAATGTCTCTCGTTGGGTATTTTTGGATCATTTATTTAATACTAAAGGGGAAAAATTGTGGGTTTTAGATTTATTTGAAACTTAAAACTCATTAAAACCTATTTTAGAGAGAAAACCCAAAAACAAATTGGAGCTCAGGTACTGGGCGGTTGCTTAGGCACTGGACGGCTTGGACCCCCAACAGCCTAGGCCGCGCCTAGCGTTTTTTTAAACACTGGCACTAGTAATTTGATGTAATTGTGAAGTTGTTTTGGCTTGGTGATGAATGATGCATTTTTGCAATTTGCAGGTTAGAAGCATATCAAAGCACAAGGTGTACAATCAAAGCACGCTGAGGCGATAACAACAGCTATTACTAAAGTTCTGAATAATAGCTTGGAAAGTGTGGCTCAAGCTTTGTCTCAAAAGTGAAGATGCATAAAGTAATAATATTTTTAATTCATCTAGTATTATATTTTGTTCATTTAAACTAAATTTTAACTTAGAACTCTGCAGAGAATTTACTAGATGTGGTCTTTTATTTATGTTGTTTGGGCTTGTTTCTTTGGTAGATTGAAATCATTCAAGAATCCAACATTTCAAATTTTAAATTTGAAGTTGAAAGTCCTCAAGTACTTTTTGCCATAAGCTGTTACATGTCTTATGGTGCTTTTATGTGCTTTTATGATGTAAATGTGCCCCAGCCTGAACCGCCTAGGGCCATTGCCCCGGCCTCCTTAGACTTACGCCCCGCCCAGGGCCTGCGCCCCGACCAGTGCATGTGTCCACGGCCGTGCTCCCTTGAGCTCTCCGCTTGGGAGGATATTTAGGCCTGCATGCTACACCCGGGCCTGCACCTTGCCCATAAGCATAAATGCCCCTTGTTGGGTATTTTTGGGTCATTTTTTTAATAATAAAAGGGTAAAATTGTGGGTTTTATGTTCATTTGAAACGAGGTTTAGAATTAAAGCATGTTGCGGCGACAACAACAACTATTACCAAAGTTCTGAATGATAGCTTGGAAAGTGTTCCTCAGAACCCGAGAGAACTCTTAGACCTGCGTGCTACACTCGGGGCCTGCACCTTGCCCAGGGGTACAAATGCCCCTCCTTAGGCATTTTTGGGTCATTTTTTTAATAATAAAAGGGTAAAATTGTAGGTTTTATGTTCATTTGAAACGAGGTTTACAATTAAAGCACGCTGAGGCGATAACAATAACTGTTAAAGTGTTGCTCAGGCTTCAATAACTATTAAAGTGTTGCTCAGGCTTTATCTCAAAAGTGGATATGCATAATGTAAGAATATTTTTAATTCATCTAGTAGTATATTTTGTTCATTCAAACTAACTTTTAGCTTAGAATTCTGAAAGGAATTTACTAGATGTGGTCTTTATTTACATTGTTTGGGCTTGTTTCTTTTGTAAAGTGAGATAATTCAATAATCCAACATTTCAAAGTTTGAATTTGAAGTTTAAAGTTCTTCGGTACTCACAGGAAATATGTCTAACATCAGTATTTTGTTATGCCATAAGATGTTACATGACTTATGGTGCTTTTATGTTGCACAAGCATGCACCCCGCTCGAGCCGGGCGGCCCTATGCCCCCGCCAAGGGCCAGCATCCCATCCAATCGGCTGCCCAAGCCTGCACCCCCGCTCAGGCCGGGCAGCCCTATGCCCCGCCAAGGACCTGCGTCCCGTCCAGTCGACTGCCCAAGCCTGCACCCCGGTTCGGGCTGGGGGGCCCTACGCCCCACCCAGGGCCTGCGCCCCGTCCAGTCGGCTGCCCAGGCTACGCCCTGCCCAAAATTAGAAATACCCCTCGTTGGGCATTTTTGGGTCATTTTTTTAATACTAAAAGGGTAAAATTTTGAGTACGCCCTACCCAAAATTAGAAATGCCCCTCTTTGGGCGTTTTTGGGTCATTTTTTTAATACTAAAAGGGTAAAATTATGCGTTTTAGGTTCATTTGAAACCTAAAACCATTAGAGCATATTTTAAAGAGAAAACCCCAAAAATAAATTTTTTTCTACTGTCTCGCCCAGGTTCTAGGCAGCTTGACCCCTGGCCGCTTAGGCGCAGGCTAACATTTTTTTGAAACAGTGGCACTTGGAGTTTGATGTATCATAAAATTGTTTTGGCTTGGTAATGAATAATTCATTTTTGCAATTTACAGGTTAGAAATTAGAAGCACAATGTTTACATTCAATCGCGTTGGGGCGATAACAACATATATTACTAAAGTTCTGATTGATAGCTTGAAAAGCGTGGCTCGGGCTTTGGTTCAAAAGTGGAGATACATAAAGTAATAATATTTTTAATTTATCTAGTAGTATATTTTTTTCATTAAAACTCAATTTTAGGTTAGAACTTTAAAAGGAATTTACTAGACGTGGTCTTTATTTATGTTGTTTGGGCTTGTTTTTTTTGTCGAGTGAGATAATTCAAGAATCCAACATTTCAAAATTTGAAGTTCAAAGTTATTAGGTAATTTTATATGAAATATGTCTAGGTTAGAATTTTGAATGGAATTTTATTAGACGTGTTCTTTATTT